AAATCGTTCACTAACAACAACTCATAATATTTTTATATATTCCTATTTATAATTAATTACCTAGTAATCTTATGGGACGTTGAGAATTATATATGGATTAGAGTCCCTCTGTCCATTTTTGCTAATTTAAACTCTAATCATTACTTTTTCTAATTAAAAATGCATGACTATATAATTACGTTAATCTAAAATTTAGATGGTTCAATGCTCAACTACTAATGTCTGTCGCCACTTATCCCAAGACCTTTTAAACCTTGGGAACCCTTCATAGACTGAAATTTTTCAATGTAATATACTCATAATACTGAGAATTAGAAAACTATAAGTCTTTCATCACGGAATGGTTCAACTAAGATTTAAAATTATTAATTATGATCAAAAATAAAATTGTAAAGCTTCAATGCTAACCATTTCAATTATTATTATTATACCTATATAGTATATCATTAACAATTTTCTAACCCCTCCCTTCAAATCTCAAACACTATTAGTGCCTATGTTAATGTGTGATATTTACATAATAGTATAATTAAGTCTATTTTTTAACTACAATGATTTTTACTGCAGGTAAGTTATTTTCAGTTGTATTTTACGGAATTTAATATATATATATATATATATATAACTAACCATATAAAAATAATATCTCTAACAATTATTGATAATTAAATAAACAAATAGTTTACCTATATATAAAAATAAATAAATAAAAAAGTAAATGCATAGCCTGGAGTATTATTATATTTGTAAAGTATGACTGGTTTTCAATTAAAAATGCATCGAGTTTTTACAAAGTCATTAAAATCCCAATCCTCAATTTTATTAATTTTTTGAGGCCCGCTCTGACCTATATGGCCACCTATGTTATACAAACTTGCTACTCCCATTCCCCTAAATTTCATATCTCAACACTGTCCAGAGTTTTGTTAAACTTCAAAAATATTTTTAAAATTATTTTTAGTCAATGTTTAAATCATGATTTATATTATGTTTATTATAAATTATTATGATAATTTTTTCTGAAATTTGATTTGTAAAGCCGTCTTAAATTTTCGGCCACCATTGTTTATTGAACTCATTACACATTTGATTACCGCGGCTCTGGACTTTATAGATATCTGGCGATGAATTTTTAATTAGAAACCGGTCATACTTTACAAATACAAACTATAAAAATTAAATTTATTTATTTATATATTAATTTACGATTATTAACCCTTTAATAATTTTTAATATTTATTTTATTTTTGAATATTTTATTAATAATTATAACTATGTACGGACTATGGAATTCATTAATATTCAAATAACTTTATTTTAAGCAATCAAATCATAGAAATATAAGGCTATAAACACAGTTTGTTCAAAGGTCTATGAACTACAAAAAGAAAAAAAAGGTAAAGGTAAAAGGTAAAGTGCCTTTGTTGTAACCATATATATAGTGTAGTGCTATCTATGTACAAAGCACAAATGTTAATTTCCATGACCTTCAATGATATCATGAATTATACAAATAAATAATAATGAGATAAATATAAGATATAAGCACTGATATAGATATTAAGTAATTATATAATATTAGTATCTAAATCCATGAATATAAATACGATCTGAATATATATTGTAATTCTAGTTGTATTTTAATTATTGAAGTAAATTTTATCATTGAAGTATTGAATAAAAGCTGATATCGAAAAAATAAGATCTATTATGCATTAATACGTTGTAGATAATAATATGAATACTTTATCATGACTTTATTTTGATCTCTTTCATTGAATTGGTCTATTTTATATATTACTAATCATCGTTAGATTGTCACATAGTAGGTGTTTTTGTTCAGAAAAAAAAATATTCTTTCCCTTAGCCCATCAAAATGGGTATGTTATTTGGTAAACCTAAAGTCAGTCGAATAACCGACCATGATCGAGCAGTTCTGGTAATAATTATAATATCTTTCATTTTTATATTTTATTTGTCTTCTTGTATCAATATCAAATGCATTAAATTTACATTTATTCATTGACATGCCAGCCCATTGTGTTTTAATTATGTACATTGATGTATAATCTTGAAATTTTTAACTTATTTCATATCATATTTATATTTTTAGCAAATGAAGCAACAAAGAGATACTTTAAAGCGATATCAACAACGAGTTGAAAAATTACTAGAAAAAGAAAGAGAGTTGGCCAAAAGACTATTGTCTGAAAATAAAAGAGAGTATGTCTGAAATAATTTTCTATAAAATGTAATGTTCACCTGTATGTATTCTTCAGAATAGAAATCCTTTAATGATTTAGTAATCTAAATTATTAAGAATTGTACTTAAATGTCAATTAGATACAAATTGAATAAATTTTACAAGGTTATCGACTTTTTTTGGATTTATCTAAGTATTAGATCTTTTAAATTCATAATTAATAAAGTAAAATTATATATTATATATATATATATATGTTTATATCGTATATAATAATAGTTACAACTTTACAAAATATTTTAATCCATTTGTTCGTTTTTTTAATATATTTAGAAAACAAAAGCTATAATCCTGTTCTAATTTAAATTATTTTTGTATAAGTAAATTAGTAAAAACTAACGCATTGTATTATTGAGAATTAGTAAACTTAATTTTTAAATTGCATGTGTACATCCATAAACTCTGAAATGAAAACAAAAAATATTAATGCTTTTTTAAATGGTAAATAATAAAATTGCTATAACATGAAGTTATAAAATATCTATTTATCAAGAATTTACAACATAAGTTAACAGTTGTAATAACAAAAATTTAATTTCATTTAATATTTTGTTAATTTTTATTTTAGTAAAGCCAAGTTATTATTGAGGAAAAAAAAGTATCAAACAGAGCAGCTTGAACGCACTGAAGCATCTTTAGATACTGTGGAAAAATTAATACAAGATTTAGAATATTCCCAAATAGAAACCAAAGTATTTATTATAAATATTATTTTAATGATATTATATTTTATTAAAAAAAAAAATGTATTTAGGTTATTGAAAGCCTTAAAGCTGGAAGTGTTGCCCTGAAAAAAGCCAATGAATTATTAAATGTTGAAGAAATTGAACAACTTTTGGATGAAACTAAAGAAGGGATTGATAAACAAAGAGTAAATTATTTAATGATTTTATTCCAAATATGTTTTATACATTAACATTAAATGATTTATTTTACAGGAAATTACTGATTTACTTAGTGGAGCTTTGTCATCAGAGGATGAAGAATTAGTTGAAGCTGAATTGAATGAACTAATTTCTAATGAACACCAAAAGGCTATGGACAAATTACCAATTGTGCCATTGGATAATTCACCATTTAATGCTCCAGGTAATACTTTGAAAGTTTCTAAATTTATTATTATTTTATCAAATACTGAAGTTTATTTTTATGATACAGAAATAAAAGAGGAACAAAAATCACCACCAAAAAAGATTGCATTAGAAGCTCAATAAAATAAAGTTAACACTCAACAAATTTAAATTTACCAAATTATATGACAGTTAAATTATTTAACTTTGAACCCCTAATTTTTAACTGTTATTGTATATATTATTATGTATAACATAACTATTAATGTCTTTGCATTTATTTATCTTAATAAAGTATTATTAAAAGTTGATTTTTATTTTCTAAGTAGTTTTCCCAAACAAATAAACTAAAAAGGAATGAACTAGGACAGTTTATTCTAGAATGTAATATGATCAATTTAAGAACAAAATTGTATGGCATTATAATTATATGAAAGAACATAGTATTAAAGAAAAACCTTAAATACAGCAAATTAATTGTTTTTATAAATATTGATAAATTTTTATTAATTTTTTTAATTAATATATTTTCTTTCAATCTGCACAAGATGAACAGGTTTTTTTTTATTCATTTTCAATACCTATTTATTAATATTTAATTTCACACTATAATATTTAATGATAGTAAAGCCCAGTGATACCAAAATCACAAACCTTGGTGCAATTATTTAGGCCATCCCACCCACTTACCTTACAAGAATAATACATTCTCATTTAACTGTTTCAGTGCACTGTATACTATTGACCAACAGTTTTATTATATAATTATAAATACTATTTGGAAGATATAACTTGTAGATGAATTATAAGGGAAATATAAAGTTGTTGGGATCCGAGGATACCCATCCCTACCATATATTTCTAGGGCTAGCATAATTGCATCAGGTAAACATTCATAACTACACCACTGGTAAAGTCTACTTAATAGTAATATAAATTATATAATGTCAAAACTACAATTAAAATATGTACAGGAAATAATAATTCTGTTCTATGAGGTAGTTCTGATTTGTAACATTTCATATTTTATTACTTACATACTAAGTTACATTACCAGAAATATCCCATATTAGTTAATTTTATAGGACAATAAAAAGATAAATTTAACTGACAATGTATATTATATATACTGTTACCACTAATTATTATTCAGGATATTTATGTATATATTTTATAACATTAATTACAAATTTATACAAAATTCAAAGACTTTAAGTGTAATAATTGTTGTAACCACTGTAACACATAAATTAGATCCAACTTTAGATTCTAAACATAAATTAGCTGATATTATTTTTATTTTTTATTTAATTGTAGCAACTTTGTTGACTCAAATCTATTAAATTGTATCTTTTAATATCCTTGCTTATAATAACAGCTCAACCACTGTATATCAAACAAATGAATGTAATAAATAATGTAAATGTATCAACACATGGCATAAATTAATTGAAATACTCCTTTTATAGCCATTGGCACAACTAATGGATAAGTTGGCAAAGTAAAACTTTAGGACTCTTGATTTATTGGGGTCCCCTAATAATGTAAGTGATTGGTCAGCGGACAACCAATAAAATTGGATTTTTTCCCCTATATTTTACTATAAACATTTACATATAGCTTAAAATTATATATTTCTGCTATAATTATACAGTTATTGTCATTGTTATTTTTAATATCCTATGGATTATATTAACTTTTATTACTTTTATGTATTTTTATTAATATTGTTATCATTTCTAAGCTTTTTTTTTTGTAATCAGTCTTCTGCGAGCTAAATTAATTTGAATAAAGTAATATTATTACTTTTACTATTAATATATTAAACAATAAAAAAAAATATTTTTCTAAAAACATAATTTGAAATCAATTTTCTCGTAGACTTTCAAAACAACTTGTAAATAAGTTTATAAACTTAAAATCTAGATTAGAGCAAATAATTAAGATTTTTTTTATTTTATTTTTTTTTTTTTGACACAAATTAATCTAAATAATAATTTTATTATTATTATTATTATTATTATTATTGTAAGTCATATGGAAATAAAAAAGATTAATAATTGTTTTAAATACAATTTTAATGATCATGTACGTAAAAACTGATGAAATATATATAAGACATAAGAATTTTTTTAAGAAAAGTACAAAATAAAAATGAACTTAAACAAATAATTATACATATTAATACACATTAAGCATAAACATCTTCACGGTCAGCTCCAACACCATCTCCATCTTCTAAAGATGAAAAATTCAAAAAATGAGCAGGTCTATGAATTTCATGATAAAATTCTTTTGGATTGGCTAATTGTAATTCATACTTCATATTTGCATCATGTCGAACACCTAAAATAAAAAAATTTAAATTAGTTCGTTCATCAAAAAAGTTGTAATACACATATTTTAATTAATTAAGTTAAAAAATTTCAAATATCATAAAAACGTATATATATATGTAATAAAAACCAACAAAAACAGAATTCAAATTGCAGGTCTCTAATCAAATATTATGTGTTTTCTTAGTTTGCGTTTACATACTGAATATAAAACTATAATACTACAATATATAATATAATATATAATTATATACTATAATATAAAATTTTATAAGTTTTGAAGTAAATGTAATATACATTAGACACTCACATAAGATATTAATCTTTAATGACTAATTTATTATTTAGTAATTTATATTTACCCATAAAGTTATAATTCCATGATCCTTGGGCAGGCACCATAAAGAAACCAAGGAATCTATCTGATAACAGCATTTGTACCTTTTCATAATGACTAGGTAAATAGCCTTTTGGATTGTTACCTTTATCAGTATTTTGACGTCCCCATTCAAAACCACTAGATAAATATTTAAATATTTTAGAATAAATAAATATGAAAATATATAATTTAGTAATTGCCATACCTAGGAGTCAATTTATAAGCTGTCAATGAGCATGAGCCAGGAGTAAAACTGCAAGTAATTATAACAGTTTTTTCTCCATCCCACGATGAATTATCTGACATGATTTTAGCATGAGTACTTATATCCTATAATACATTAATTAGGTATTGAAAATATAATTATAAAAAACCATTTATAAATGTTAACTTACTTGTGGTGATAGTTGAGGTAATTCATTGGGTTGTGTATGTATCCAACCAAGAGGTTCCATATCAGTGAGGTAATGATGGTTATTGGGTAATTGTGATGGCACATGTATTGTTTGATGTGTTCCCCATTGTGGAGGCATCACTAGGCACCGAATTTCTTTTACTTGAGGGTTATCAGGAGGACTTACACCATACAAATATGCACATATCTATGATAGTAAAAAACACCATTAAAATATGAAAAAAATTACAATTATATTTGAATTTGTTATAAGAACAATGACAGTTAATTTGATCGATAATATTTATTTATTTTTATTTATTTAAATATGAAAATAAATAAGTCACGGAATTCTTCATACTAGATTAGATTAAAACCATTCAATGGTAAAATAGCTAAATAACCAAATTTGATATATTTAATTTGTTAATAATTATTTTTATTCTTTATATCAATTTTACACCACTTCTATATCACAGCTCCATTGATTTAAAACTTGTGATGACTGCTTAGAACTGTGACAGTTTGAATACATCACCTCTAATTATATTAAAAATTTACTAGGGCAGCGATCAAACTCCCCATCAAGCGGTAATGATTTTCATATATAAAAAAAATGTTTTACACCAACACAGAAATTGATTATCAGGATCATTCTTAATATAAATAAAGTATATAGTATATGAACCATTCGAAGAATAAATAAGAAACTTTATGCACAATTTTATCATAAAACAATATACCTGAGCACGAAGATCTGAAATGGTAACAAACTTTTTCAGAACATTTTTAGGTAATATATACGTATAACCCGTTTCTTTGATGTCATCAGATGATACATATATATGATTTGTACGTAAATGAAGATTTGTAGCAGATATTGCACGAACTCTCCATTCAGTCTTAGAACTAAAATATAGAACATAATTTATTCAAATTGATTTTTACACTAAAATTTAAATTATAATTATACCTAAAAGTTTGAGTTTCATAATTTGAAGTAGTGGAAGTAATAATATCATCCCCATGCTTGTTAACTGTTCTAGTTGTGGTTGCTGTTAATTGCGACTGCTCTTTTGTTTGTTTCTCAATTTCAGCAATTTGCTGCCTCTGTGCTGATGGTGCACTAATCTCCATTCCCAAAATAATATCACGAATTTCTGATTGTGTTAAAGATGCAACATTCACACTAAAATAAAATAATTATAATTATTAAATTCTTTAAATTAATCTTTTTATAAAAATAAATTTAACACTAATACTAATGCTTACTTATTTTTTTTCCCATAATCAGCTAAAATCAAATCTTTTAGTTGCACTTCAACTTTGATCCATTCATCATCACTTAGAGTTGGCCAAATATGATGGGGTTCAGTTATAGTTGTTTTGTCTGGTTTTAATATAACTTTGGTACGTTCAGTATTAACATGCAAAGCTCTTAAAATCAAGATTAACCGAGAAAATGCCTAAAAATAAAAATAAGATAAATAATTAATAAATTAAGTAATTTTAAGTTTTTTTTTACCGTATAAGAGGAAATTGTTTTAAGCCAATCATCATATAAATTGAAAAGAACCATCTGAGGTTCAGTTGCTTTCAATATGAGATCACCAAACTTCTCCACCTTTAAACATGCTTGAAATGGAAGTTGGAGTTCTGATCCTTTGATAACAATATTTGGAAAATCTAACAGATGCACCTACGAAAAAAATTAAAATTTTTTTAAATCAAATTTTTTTTTTACAAAGTAAAAAGTAAAAAGTAAAAAGTAAAAAAAGTAAAGTAAAAGTCATTAAAGCAAAAATAAAAAAATAGTGAATATACCTCAAGAGGATCTAACATTCCTTTACGTGTAACAATAATTTGTTTAGGTTGTTCTTCAACAGGTAATGAACGAATTAAAGCTGCTACTTCTTCGGCTGTTTTCCATTTAGCTAACTGAAAATTAATTATACTCAGATAATAAGAAAAATATTTTAATATAAACATATTTACTTGTCCTAAACGTTTTTGACCAGCCCATACTGATGTATGGATGATTTTCAAAAATAATTGACCAGTACGTGGGTTAAAAATAAATATAGCTCCATTAATAGGCTTAGTT